ATTTGTTTTATTTAAAAAACATTTTTAAATTTATAAAAAAAAAGTTTTTTTTAAGAAAACTGTGAAGAATAGGGGACAAGTAAGAGAGAGACAATAGTTTAATACATAGACAACTTTATATTACCTCTTGACAACTTTGTAATACCTTTTAAAAATATTGAAATCAATAAAAGTTTTTTAATTTTAAAATTTTTGAACCCATTTTTTAACATTGTTTTCCTACGATGGTTAAAAAAGCACAACCTAAAAAAGTAGTTGTTATGCATAAAATGGAAATCCACTATGAACATTCATCTTATTTTGGGTAGTGAGTGCTACACTTACAGCATTTTAACAATTCACAACATACAATTCAGCTTTTCCTGTTTAAAATCAAGTTAAATATGTTTAATTATTTTTTTTTTGTATGTATATTAAATAAAAATGTATGAGGTATTTTTTATGAATTTTACAGATTTTTAAAGCATACAGTTTAACTTAAATACAGTTTTTATTGAATACTGAAAATTTTACTTTGTAGCACTTTCAGCCTTTTCCATTTCTGGTACACAATTTACATTGTATGTACAGATAGAAAAAATAACCAATATAAAAAAAAAAACTTACTAACAGAGATAATGGAAAACAAGCATAAACAATAATAAATTCATGAAAAACAATACATATAAATATGATATCATAAATATTTAATTTTTAAATCAATACTTAAAGAATTGAATTATAGCATATTTATTAATAACTTTATATTACCTCTTGACAACTTTGTAATACCTTTTAAAAATATTGAAATCAATAAAAGTTTTTTAATTTTAAAATTTTTGAACCCATTTTTTAACATTGTTTTCCTACTATGGTTAAAAAAGCACAACCTAAAAAAGTAGTTGTTATGCATAAAATGGAAATCCACTATGAACATTCATCTTATTTTGGGTAGTGAGTGCTACACTTACAGCATTTTAACAATTCACAACATACAATTCAGCTTTTCCTGTTTAAAATCAAGTTAAATATGTTTAATTATTTTTTTTTTGTATGTATATTAAATAAAAATGTATGAGGTATTTTTTATGAATTTTACAGATTTTTAAAGCATACAGTTTAACTTAAATACAGTTTTTATTGAATACTGAAAATTTTACTTTGTGGCACTTTCAGCCTTTTCCATTTCTGGTACACAATTTACATTGTATGTACAGATAGAAAAAATAACCAATATAAAAAAAAAACTTACTAACAGAGATAATGGAAAACAAGCATAAACAATAATAAATTCATGAAAAACAATACATATAAATATGATATCATAAATATTTAATTTTTAAATCAATACTTAAAGAATTGAATTATAGCATATTTATTAATACTTTCCTTTCGATGAATGATTACAAAACAGTTCAATTCTATTCAAGTCTATTTTCATGAAGATGTACAATAGCTATGAATTTATTGAAAGAAAAAAATTGTGAAATTAAGTAACTATTTTATTAACAGTAAATGGTGTCAGGTGTCTTATGTCAAGACAAGTAAGTAAATGAAACACTATGAACTAGACTAACTATGAAATAGACAGGTTATTTATATTTCAAAATCCATTATTTGTATTGACCACCAACTCAATATTAATTAATAAACAATTTAAATTTTGGGTGGGGTTAAAATAATAAATCCCCATAGAGATAACGCTAGCGTGTCTTTTCTCACTTACTCTAACACTTAACAGTTTGGCGAGGTCCCACCTATTGGCGTGACTAGATAAAAGAGTCTAATAATGTTTGCTGTCAGCACTCAATAAGCCTTATCAATGCATCTTTCCAGTTATAATATTGAAACTAAAGACAATGGGCTGAGAAATGTGTTTTGTAGGATTATATGTTGCCATTGGGAATTTATTGTGTGAAGCTGAAATAACGGTAATACAGTGGTTATTTCAATAAATTCAAATTAATAATTTTTTTGTAATATTAGAAAGTGTACACTATTGATTGCAGCTATATCTATTGTATATTTAGTGAAGAGAAAAGGGTTCTATGGCATTTCTCCTCTACAGACAGTACTTGTTGTTGTATTGAAAATAATTACAATTTTTTTTAGTCAATTGACTTTTTTAAGATGCTACGAAAAAAAAATTTCAGGCCAGGATTATTTTAAATAATAATACATATATTGTCATTGCTTTCTTATAGTACATATTCATGATTTCAGTATTTGAAAATAATTTATTTCCTTAAGCACTTAAATGTCTTAATTTTAAACGGAATAATGTTTGAGAAAATTCCTGAACATTAAATTAAAAAGGAGCATCAGAATTGCTTAAAATGCCCAATGATAAAGAAAGGGATTCAGTTAAAAGTTTTTAGATTTCTTGTTCAATTTAAGTTTTGGAATTAGTTAGCTAGGGCTTCAAGTGGTGGATTTCAAGATTACTTTCTAAAGAAACGTATTCTTATCATTGGCGTCGGCCTGAATAATCTATACGATATTTGTGTAATGATAATATGAAAAACACGCCAAAAACATGTAATTGGACAGTATAAGTTTTTACCTCAACACTATTGTGGTGATTAGTGTATTAAGAGGAACTTTCTCATCTTAGGCATAATCCGAGTACCACTTCAGGTCCAAAGTAGTATTGATAAAACGCAGAGAGTTAAAAATGTCATGATATTTATATTGTGAGAGATTTATTTGTTCTTATTTCAGTATTCTACTTAGGTTAGCAGAGGAAATGTAAATTAAAATACAAAAAATATTAAACAATTCGGTGGTAGTTTTGTACAGTTTTACCTGGTCTGTTGACAAAAATTCTCTTGTCCCTAATAGAATTGCAAATTTCTGTTTGTCTATGTTTTGCATCACTGTCATTTAGAACTAATAAATGGAAATGCTTCATTCAGAAAATAATATGTGTTGTAAATAACAACCAACAATTAAATGTAATGTTCTGGCATAAAGATAGAATGGAAATGTATGCAACCTTGCATTTATATACTATAGTTCATCTTGTATTTGTTTGAATTCGCACCAGCTAAACGTTTTTATATGATTTTAAAATATAATTTGTCAAAACACCAACAACCTTGATACTAACCAAATAAAAGCATAAACTTAAAAACAGATGAACACTTGTTCGTAGCTTATGCGCTGACACATGAAATAATGTAATATATATCCCATAATATTTTTTTTTTATGCAAATATTTTACAATTTGCTTTAGACTTTTGTTAGACTTCAGTTTAGTAATGTAAAGTAAGTAGTAACAATGTTACTATTCAGGAGCTGTACTAATTACCTTCCTTGCGTGTTACTGGTCAACATTTCACGTTTATCATTGAGTTCTTATCTTACACCATTAATCCTACATTCCCGTGGTATTATCAAATGGCTAATGTACACAACGGAGAGGCTAATAGTCGGTATCTACTTTAAATCCACTACTTGCGGTGTTAAAAGCCTTATATTTGTCAACTAAGGTTGATTATGGTTTATTAAACCGTAAAAAACTAATTATTGTGGTAATTTTACTACTTTTAATGAAATATGCATAGTTTTTAATGACTGTTGCCGTAAATGAATGTTATTCTAAGGTAAATTTACATTCTAAGAACAGTGCGAGCTTAAACCTCTTCACGATGTTCGTATAAAATCACTAAATTAACGATTATATACGAATAAAAAAGTAATAAAAACATAAGTTAGTGTTTCTTGTTCTTTTAATTGGCAATTGACTATGTGTGGGAGTAATTATATACAATAATTTTATATTAATGTAAAATTGCGAGTGTTACTAATCAACTTGATGACTAACTATAAAGTTATGTAAAGTAAGTTTCCTTAGATTGTTTTTATTTAGACCAGTCAGTTTTTATATCACTTTGAAACTGTTAGCCGAATTATACACATTTTCAATGTAAGAGAACCGTTGAAAGCAAACGATGCTTGTGACTTCAAACAAATTCTATTTAACTTCCCTAACAAGTTTAGTATGTCAACTCGCCTTCGCTTTTACAACTTGTTTCATCAATTGAAATTATATTTGATCCCTTTAGTCAAAAACAAATACATGTCCTTTGGACCCATGATGATACAGTATTATAAACTATAACTCTTTAACACCATTGATTTCATTAAATAATTTTGTTTACATATTCTTTGTTGTATCTGCGCCCAATATTTAATTAAGTACATGGCAGTAACAATAAGTAACCACAACGGAAACTTTAAAAATCAAATCAAAATATTATAATTTTTAAATTGATTTGTTTAACTTTTGTCTGCATATTGTTAAGATTGGGTTACAGTTTTAGATTCCTTGTTTATTTATTCGTTTATAATTTAAGAAGGCTTTCATCAATTCTTGCAATATTATTTAATTTTATTGTTTATTTTATTGAATATGTAATAGTTTACCGATGTTTTGTTAGACACGTCAAATATTTTAAACCTACATTTAAATTAGGTTTTACTATTAAATTGTCGACTTCCATAGTTAATTATCGTTTAGATTTGAATTCGCAATATAAAAATAAAACGTTTTGGTGGACGGTACAAATCTTCGGCTCGTAAATACTTTAGGAAGGTTTCCATAAATACTGAAACGGCCAAAAAAGAAGCCTCGTAAAATTTTAGTGTTCTTCATGGTCGATTTCTTTTACCGTGAAAATGTAGCAGCCATTGAGTCAACGTAGAGATTGTACAGACACTCTGAGTTTTTCATGAATACATTTGTGTATATACGCTTAAAAATTCTTATTATTTTGAAATATTTCTGAGTTATCTGTATATATACCGAGTTAGGAAACAGATGAAATATATTGATATTATTTCAATTTTTTTTCTAATTTCTAATATCGTTAAAATATCTTTAATGCAACGAAAAATTCTAAAATGTTATAGCTATCGTATACACATCTATTTTAAATTTAGTGTGATGTTGTTTCTTACTTACTTACTCTTACTCCTGTGGCCATTGGAAACCTAGGTGGTTTTTGGCCTCGCCAACCATGTGCCTCCAAGCTCTTCTATCCTCTGCCAGCTCCAAGTCTGCTCCCATTCCTCTCAAGTCCTTCGTCACCTCATCAACCCATCGCATTCTTGGTCTACCTAATTGTCTCCTTCCTTCTGGTATACCTCTGAGTACCATCTTTACCATCTCTCTCTCACTTCTACGGTTAATATGGCCCATCCATCTCAACCTCCTACTCTTAACTATTCCCACAATATCTGGTTCACCATATAATTCTTTTAACTCTCTATTTTTACTTATCCTCCATGCATTTCCTTCTTTTACTGGTCCAAAAATTCTTCTCAAAATTTTGTTTTCAAAAGTAATAAGGCGCTTCTGGGATTTTTTGGTAAAAGACCAAGTTTCTGACCCGTATAGCAATACAGGTTGCACTATAGTTTTATACATTCTTATTTTAGTGGTTTTTGATAGCAGTTTGCTTTTGAATAATTTTATTGTGATGTTGTTTCACAAGATATAAATTAGCAGTCAAGAAACAAAATTGTACATTTTTAAAATCGATAAGATATTATTACGGACATATCCACCACGATAAGGGAAATAAAATGTTCATAACGTTTCGGAACCTGCAAGTTTTAGGTAGGGAAATATATGAATAAATTAATAATGAATAAATTAATTTATTTCCCATATCACAAAACAGTATACAATCGTAATAATTGTCGACAAATTTAAACCGGTCACTTTTCCTAGTAGTGTGACCAGTTACAAAGTTACATAATGAATAATATTTACCATACAAGAATAGAATGCAAGCCAAGCCGAAGCTGGAAAACCATAAACCATTCACGAAACAGCATCGTAGTCATACACAATTTAAAATTAATACAAAACTACAGTTGCACATAACTATAACTTAATAGTGACACTAGTAATAGTAACATTGAGGAGCGGTTTTGTAAATAAAAGGTACTAATCCAAGGATGATGAAATTATATAATAAGGGAAATTATATGCCAATTATGCTACATACTATGTAGCCCATCTCACGTTTATACCCCGGGTAGAATAGGTAAAACTAATAAAATTTACCGATATAAAAAAATAGATGTACCTTACCGTCAACTCAGGCTTCAATTACAATTCAACGGATGGCTCAATCCAGTAATGTAATTGGTATGTAACTCCCTGCGCCAGTAATGTAAGTGACAGTAAACTGTAATCCTCGCTTTGAAAATTGGGATTTGGATTTAGTTTTCATTTGGAAATTGGAATTCGGAAACACTCAACTTGTATATAACCTGAAGGGTGACTTATTAAATTTTCCCTATGAAGTTACAGTTATGACTTATTTGGATACATTTGTTTTTAAAACCTGAAAACCCGATTAAATTAAGAATCCATAGTGGTTATTGGCATAAAATGAATCACAAGTTTGTTATTGATGCCAAATTTTGTATTCCCCAGAAGCATCCTTATTGCAATAGGGTAAGACTGAAAATCAAGAATTTATCATACGTTTTCTAATTACATGGTAAGATCATAGCTTACGAAATTAATTATTATTTTATCAGTCATATAACTTTATAAATAGCAATTATCTAAACAATTAAACTAGGATACTTAACTTTTTACATTAAATCTCTGAACAAGACAAAATCAAATACTTCAGTATGTACGATTCAAGTATGCCAAATTAGTTAAACGAGCTACTTCAATTTCAGACAACAATGCCACAGCAGTTTCAATGTTTGATACTATAAAGTTCTGCCTAACTTTAGCAGTTAGAAGATTCATTCTAACTAGTTAGTGTAGTTTGAAATCACTTTGATACGTGGGGTTGGCTAAGAACAAGTTTCAATTTCCTATATTTTAGGTTCCGTTATTTATTTATATTTTATTATTTTGAATGTAGATTATTTATTTTACTAAAAGATTATAGCCTACCTTTACAATTTATATCCTAGGGTACCAGGCTCTAGTTTTACACATTTTCCTGTTTTACACATTACAACAGGTTAGTCCTAAGGGTCGTGGCATCATCACATGGATAAAATCAAATAGCGATCGGCAGGTTTAGAACCCGTGACCTCGGGTATTGAAGCAACGTGATTTAATAATACACCAGCAGCTCGCACCCTATCTTTTCACATAAAGTTGTGATGTTTTCAGTGCTTAAGGTAAATAACTTTACTATCTTAAAAGGTATCTTAACGTATCTTAGTAATAATGATAAGTTTTTTATTTAATAGTAGTACAACGGATTGATACCATTAATCTCTAAGTATGGATTTATCTATTTGGTCTGGATCTGTACAGAAGCATAAACTGAATCTCACTGAAGAGATATGTTTTAGAATACGATACCTTAGTGGCCATTGTATGACTAACTAACCAGTAATAGAGTTACCACAAAACACGTTCTACACTTTGCGAATACTATTCAGTTTAATGATTCAAATAAACCATAAACATTACCTCTAATAACATTATCATAGTTAATTGCTAAACCACATTAATGTAGAAGCCTGATCCACAAATTAGGTCGGATCCCGGCTATTATAGTAGGGTCCATGTGATAGGATTACGGCAAGGTTATCTTACTCAGTTCGTGACCGAAACTACTCACGACCGTGTGAGGCTCTGGGGAGTTTCGTGTGTGGTTAACTTGTCTAAGTATCGTAGACGGATAGTTTGAAAGATTAAATTGTCAGAACGAATTTATATTACCGTTATACGTCGTCGAATCTATCTAAAATGACTTCATTGGGAATTTAAACAGGTTTAAAAGATGCCTGTAATGTGTGAGAAGATAATGTGAAGTCATGTTGACCCAAATGCTAACACAGAGCTCTTGACCAAGCGTAATTTAAGAAAATATAGATTTTTTATTGGAAATTATTCTGTAAATCTTTGCATCAGAGAATTATAGATTCTGAAGTAGATCTGTTTTAAGCATACACCTTTAAATCTAATACTTAAAGATTTTGTGGACGATTTAACTTAGAAAAAACGAGGGACAAGATTAGGCCGAGATGATATTTTTTGAAATATTATTAGGTAATTTGTGTGATTTCTTAATTCAGCAGAATCCAAACCCATAGGTAATCCACATACTTTTGTACCATACGTCAAAAGATTCAATGGGAAATTGGTAAGTCCAAGCCTTTAATTGGGACTTGCCGATAGGGAATTCCTTTTCTGACACCAACTATTCCTGCGGATCTTCTTTAAATGCTCCCCAGCTCTTAAATTAGATATTTTGGGTGAGGGTTCGACACTGGTGAGGCAAACTCTAAAATCTGGTACACCAATGCACAGTACAAGGTCATCAGAGAAGATTTTCACATCATCATAAGCGAAAAGTAGAGAACTTCTTTAAAGTAGCATCTACAAACGGTCAACTATACTTCTAATCATATTGGGGTGCTTTATACATTAAAGGTCTTAAAAATATTTGAGAAAAACATCTCAGTAAACACTGTTTATAACTGAATACTGTAAGCCATATTAATACTGCTATATCATTAAAAACAGTCTAATAGAATTGGTTCAACAATCCGTTGCCATTGGGTGTTGTTAACGCATGGCTATGTTAGTTACTACTAAATTTCAGACTTAACTAAAAGTGAACAGTATGCCAACAGTGTACTTACTATTCGATTCTAATTACGGGGGACTAAAGATATTTCCCATACATTGATCTATTTGACTTAATAAGTTTAATTATTGAGACATATTCTTCTAGAGTAAGCTAGAATAAATATCATAAAGTAAACGACAATCATAACTAAAATAATAAAAGACATATTCAATTTAAAAAATATAGTAATCGATACGGGATTTTGGTCTATGAGTTTAATTGTATTGGGTTTCAGTCATTTATTTGTAATATGTATGAGTTTTTCTCTTTATGTTGATGTAATTGATAAATACGCGTACTCTAACGTGTATTACTAAATACATCAACATAATGAAAAAATCTCATTTTAGTACAAAGAAATAGTTGAAACCTAAAACTTAAATTCTAATAAGTTACATGAACAATAAAAGCAAAACCGAAATACAATTCAAAACAAACAAATCAAGCTTTGTCGGAAATACAAAGGGTAAAACAATAGTGGCTGATCGAATGGTGAAGAATGCGATAACAACCAGTGATTTATAAACATCCCACGCCTGGCTATCGATCACAGTCATATCGGATACTCGAAACTATTCGATTGTTTTGTCTCGGGTCGTTGATATATTGTTAAATCCTTTTTCGACATTTAAACCTCAATCCTTTTTTATGGGCAATAGATTTTCTTAGTAATGACAACATTTTTTTTTTGAAAACTTTCCTACATATAAAATACAATGTATTTATGATTCAAAATTAAATCTTATACCGTACGCTTTTCCAAGAATCACTAATTAAAAAACACATTTTTATTAACTACCATTTATTATGCGTATACACATAACTTAATAAAATTAATAAAAACTGAATGATAAGAAATTATTTTATAAAGTGAGAAAGTGTTGAATAATTTCGCATTAGAGGGTTTTTATTAAACATTTACCAGCAAATAAATGTCGAGAAATGTTGGCATGATGCCCAGCTGTTGTGTGAAGCTGTGGACATTAGCCTCGATAATTACCAGTGTCCAGTATCAGCTGTTTATCACCTGTTAATTTACAATGAACCACTTATAACAGCAGTGCGCCATTTAGATGTTCATTAAAAGGAGTTTTTATAATTTAAATTACGGTTGAGTTGTTTTATTTTGTATGTTTCCTTAGCTTAGTTATAGTTGAGTATAACCATAGTTTAAGCATACTCCCCTAAGGGAGTACCCATAATCTACGGTATAACCTTTAGTGTAATCTTATAGTAGTCCAATACTTTAATATTCAACTATTCAATAATATTTAATAGTATTGCTATAGTATTGAATTAGATATGATTTGCTTTAACAGTAAAATATTGTTACATTATTTTTTGTTTGGTTAAACATAAACCAAGTGATTTTTTAAGTAAAAAAGATTGCTTGGAAACCTATGTTATAAGATAAGCTTATTTTTTTAAATATGGAAGTTGATAAAAAATGAATGTTACATTTTATTAATATAACGCTGTGCGA